CGAGTACACAGCGGTCACCTGATCGCCGTTGCTTTCCGCTGGATGATAGTATTCATCGACTGAATGGCGACCTCTGTGGGTCCATGAACAAACTTCGGTTGTTATGTAATTGTATAAGCCTGATGATGAATGGCCGAAAACGTACGTTCGCTTGTAACGACTTTTGATCAGTCAATGGGTTTTTGTAACAAGTTAAACAGGCAGCCTGACCGGGAAACGGCAGCAGACACTCCACTGCTGTTGGCTGTGAGCCATGTACTGTAAAGTCTCGAGCCAAGCACACGGCGGGTAACGTGGACCCCAGCCCGTAATGCGAAACGAACCGACGGTACTCAGTTTGTTTGTCAGTGACTTCATTTCCCGTTACCGAGTGAATTATTGTCCACCTGGAGCTTTGCGCCACCCTACATCTGGCAGACAAAACAAGACCCTTCTCGATAACCGGTGACCAGGCATCCGTAGCAGGTGCCCAAGCCCACGCAACTTACTCAGTTTTACGTGCAGTTCTAAGGCACTAGCTTGAGTATCACTGCCTAGCAGTCGCTTACATACATCATCGTCGCGGACAAGGGGTAGCCACCCGATACTAGCAATGGTTCGCAGACAGCGATGGTCAAAAAGTTGAAGCCGCCTCAGATCTTCAAACCGAAGGGGCCAAGTCTCACGTCCATATAGTAGGACGGCCCACACTGTGGCCTTGTAAACACGACGTCTCAAACAGAGAGAAAACCCTTTATGTCAACAAAAATGTTGCAAATTCTAAAAGGCAGCTGTGTTTGCAAAACGGGAACTGATCTCATTAGCTATACACCCCATTCTTGCTGATACAGCTGCCAAGGTAAGTGAGTTGATCAACCATCTCGAGTTCCTCGCCATGTAGGATTAGGAGATCATCAAGGGGCTGGTGGTATTGCAGCAGCACTTTGCACTTCGAAGGTGCAAAACGCATACCAAATGATGAGACCACTCCAGAGAGGTTATTATGGGTTGATTATACAGCCGCAACATCGTTAGAAAGCAAGACGATATTGTCCGCATAATCAAGATCAGCTAAGCTTTCACCATGCAGCACCACAACGCCCAAATCGTGAGATTCCGTAAGGGAACACTCCATGATGGAGTCAACGACGAAATTGAACAAAAACGGGGAAATCGGAAAACCCTGACGAACGCCACTTGTTGTCCGAAAGCTATCCGACAGATCACCGTTAACCCTGACACGGCCTGTAGTGTTCGAGTACAGAGCAGGCAAAAGGTTTACATATTTCATGGGAACACCTTACCGCGAAGTATTTTCAACATAATACATCGATCGACTGAATCGAACGCACTCTTGAGGTCAAGGAACGCAGCTATTGTCGGTCTACGATATGCGTCGCGTTGCTCTAGAACCTGCCGAAAAATGAACAGGTAGTCTATACAGACACACCCTGGGTAGAAACCTGCTTGCTCTTCCGTAATCCGGAATTCATGTTCCACAGTAAGGCGACGAACGAGAATCGAGGCCAGTAATTTTGTCAATACGGGCGTTAGGCCAATACCCCCCGTGGTTAGGGAGGATAAGCCGGGTGTAGTTAAATCAACAACTCCATGAGAGTCATTGATCCTAGTTTCGGATACGCAACACACGTCAATACCCAGCCTGTCTAATGTGTGTGCGAGTGAAGCCTATTGACCTATTTGTCTTAGAGCGCGAACGTTGAATGCCGCCATGAAAACGGGAGTGTGGCCTTATAAGAGACTGTTGTCGATAGGCGTTCAGTGGGTGATGAGGGAAGGTAGTTGCAGATGGTTCGACTCCAGTGGCATTACGGTTGCTGTCAATTAAGCTGGGAACTATAGAAAGGTTAGTAATTGGGGTTGGGAAGAGAGTAAGAGAAACAGGTGGAAAAAAGGGGGGCACCAGCAGTAGCATGTTTTCGCTTATCCACCATGCTGTATGCAGCAGATAAGGTGACCCTTGCTGAGCTGCGCGACGACCGATGCAGAACGAAATTAATGTTTGAGGAAATAATTATGGCTGTATGTGGGTCGAGATACTGCCAGGGCGCTTAGACACAGACAGAAGGATGAATAAGATCCTCAACAAAAGCCTTTGGCTCAAAAGCCTATCCGCAAAGCAGGGTGGTAACAATGGTTTAGTTTTACGGAAATGGACGCCATTCCATTTCAAACCCCGAATCTGGAGGACCAGGAGAGTGAGTTTGTTTGACCACTAACCATTCACCAACCTGGTAGAAGTAGCCCACAATGCGCCCGGGGACACAATCCAGCATACCTCAATGGGTCAACGAGATACGTAAACCGTTGCACCACATTAAGGTCCAGTCTCTTTGCCATGGGACGGCCAATAGGCGATGGAGACAAGTAGAGAACAATATATAAGAGCATCCAATTGGAATAGCTTGATGCAAATGTTCACGTCCACTAGCTACGCTCCGGTGCCAGAGGCTAAATGTTTCTTGGCATAATAACATTCATTGCATGCCCAGTCGGGTGTCGTATGCCAGTGATTCGGCTGATCGGGTGAAGCACACTGGAGGCGATAATGTGACAAAAGCGCGTGGAGAAACCAATTTATTAGCTAAGTTAAATCAGTGCCTGATTTCTTCCTGGTTAGGGTCTGGTGGTTAACCATTTTTGATTCTGCAGATAGCATACTTATGGAGGCAACAGCACTCGCGCACTCGGTCTTTTCTTTCCAAAAACCAGTCCGGCTACAAATGCGTCAGCAGTATGCTGGCACATAATGCTGAGACTTCGCTGCTAAGCGACTATCAAAAGCTTCGTGAGGGCTGGGAATATCATGAGGTCGCTTGGAGCGGCGCAGATTCGAACCGGTGAAATCAGGAGTACAAAGTAGGAGATCAATCCTTTCGGCCACCGGACGACGTAAAATGTATCAGCTGTACGACTATGCCAAACAGCAAACGATTCTGAAGGATTTCCAAGCCGTACTTCAGCGTCTAACTTGATCGCTTTCTAGGCCCATGCAAAGTATTGGTAGAATCTGGGGGCCCGAAACTACCACGTGGTCATGTTCGGGGTAAAAATCAGCAGTGTCCGCATGTAGTGAAAGCGCTTCGTTGCAGTGAAACTGTAAACATTTGTGTCAAAGCTGTGTTACTGTCAAAAAGCTGCAACTTAATTAATAATCATCAACGAAGCAGTATATCAGACATTTGGACTGATGCGTCGCTATCGTACAACTCCGGTGACTTACGGAATGAATAATAAGAGGGATAAAAGTGGACCTAGTGAGAAAACTTAATACCCTCAGTAAACATTCAGACTCAAGGCACCAACACCTTGTCAACAACAAACATAAGGCGGCAACGGCGAGATAACTTCCTTCCGGCTTTGGAAATATTTCAGTTGCTTCCCCTCAACACGGCCGCATCACGACTGCGGTTTCGTCCTGGTTTGAACTCATAAGGTTGAAACTTTAACCCAGTGGTTCACGGCTGATGCTCTAAACACTATGCCACTTAGATCTGCGAGCAACGTTTGGCCCAGAGGAAACGAATTCTAAGTTGAAGCATTGAGTACCCTGTATTAATTTGAATAGCATAACAAGAAGACGAATGTTGCAAGGTGATACCATTTCGTGCCGTGTTCACTTGCAAACAGACAACATATCAAATGATAACGTGACAAAATAGGAAATCAATAAGTTCAAAGCGTGAGGTCATATGCAAGCGAAGTAAACGTTGGCTACAATTTGAGGAGGAATCATTAACTCCCAGGGAGTTTGAGTGTAACGAACAGTTGTTTCTGGACGCATAATGTTGGAGAATACATTTTATGGCCACTGCCTCGGCAAACTTGAGAACTCTGGCGTTTGTGTTACGATAGATGAGACTAAACGACGAGTTGGGGTCCACCTGATGACCCGTTTCCATCAGGTGTTTCGCAATCGAGAAGGCAGGTATGTTGTTCGTCGACACAGGTCCCGTTTGTGGCTGCCTCGTCAAGGTAACGATACGCTTCGGAATGTGCTCCCCAACCTAAGGTGGACTTAGAGAACCCGCTATGTGGTTGGATTGCGACACGCAACCTCTATTGAGACATCGGTTCATTTTGAGGTAGATCTCGGTCAATCCGATCGCAAAGATCGCATGCAAAATTGAAATATTTTAGTGTTGCCCTTCCTTCCGGCTTTCACTGTCCAGCGTCATAATCAGCTATTATCCTGCATATAACTCAGCACGAAACAGATTATAAGCAAGTAGTCCAACTAGGAGACAACAGTAGACGCACCAAACTGGAGGACAAGGAGGTTGAGTTTGTCTGATCTCTAACCAATGACTGAGTTGGTAGGTGTATTCCTTAAGGGGCCCCGGTGTACCAGCTATTATATCTCAGTGGTTCGAAGAAGTATACAAACCGTCGTAACATGTTAGGGTCCAGTCTCGTTGCGACGAGAAAGGCATCAGAAGTATGCCGGACCGATGATTCGCGGCCACGCATCCATCACTAGTCGAGCAAAAACTAAGGATAGTGCGAAGGTCGCCAGGTCCGTTACACGGGCCAGAAGACGCGACCTCCGGGTTGCAAGGGAGACGCATCGTCATTTCGGCCACGGGCGGGCAGATGAGGAGACTCAAACCTGCAGTGTAAACTGAAAACTAGATATGAAGTGACTCGTGCTGAGTAATCGAGGATGAACAAGTTAATTAGGAAAGCATCAGTAAATGGAATAGCAAACAGATCCACAAAAATAGTGAGGTGAAGATCATCAACCGAACGGTGTATTGCGAGGAAGAGCGTGTGATGGACCACAAGTTTGGGACTTTGTCGAACGAAAAAAGCAAGCCGATAGACAAGGTACTATATCGCAAGTCAAGTGTATGGCAAGAGGGTCAGCAGTGTGCGCGTGAAACAAAAGCTCTGTACCGCACCAAGTAGACTGGTGGAACCACTCTGATGCAAACCGATATTACGCAGTTGATTGGGCATGGAATCAGCAGAATGGATAGCGATAAGGTCATTTGGCTTACCTCCAAAAATCCCACTTGCAGAAGATCTAACTTCAACCGATCAATCAACTTGCAGACCACAGTCAAACAAACTGAACTAATATCTTCTTCGACTGAACAAACGCCGAGGGCTTCTTGTTCCAAACCTTTGGTGTACTTGCCAACGCAATCATCAACCAACTCGAGATCCGAGTGGGTAACGTAATATCTAGGGAAGTGCACCTCCACAGCAAGGATCCCGAAATCGTTCTGAGACATCGAGAGTAACGCAGACGTCCAGAGGCAACAAATTTCGTAAAAAAAACGACAACAGGTTTTCTGTAAAAGCAGAATTAGATATAAAGAGAGAAAATTATACGGTGCATCCAAAACATATGGTTTCGATACGAAAATTGGAAAGAAAAATATAACCATTACCGTAATAGGTGAAGCATCGATGATATACCTGTACCTCACTAGGTCTTGTAACAGTGACAAGATACGGTAGACAGTTTGGAGAGATTCTCCGTGATTACAAAGTGGTCCCCGACTTCGTCGATCGTAACAGCCTGAAATGGGACGCCAAGGAAAGTGCCTTCTATGCTGAAATCCCATCGCAACTTGGGGGTGTTGAGCGAAAGTGCATCTCCTGCGTCCCCCAGACTTCCCATTCAAATCTGACAGTGAAATGAGGATAAAAAACGACTATCTGATGAGCCTCTTCTGGACCGGGAGTTCAACAAAACAACGAACTAGAAAGCCTATAACATGCGAACGACTTGTCTCCCCTTGAATCATAAGTGTTGCACATTGATCGACTGAATCGAAGGCGCCTTCTAGGTCAAGAAACACGACAACAGTGGGTCGCCGATAAACATAGCGGTGCTCCAACAATTGATGCAAGATGGAGATGTGGTCGATGCAGCTCCAATCTCGACAAAAGTCGGCTTGCTCTTCACGAATCTGGCTTTCACGAGTGCCAGTCGGTCTGTGGGGAATGACGTAAGCAATTTAGGAGCAATTGAGATGAGACTGATCCCCCTATGATTGCCGCATTCCGGACCGGAGCCTAATTTGCAAATTGAGACAATGACGGAGCGGCTCCAGTCTGTCGGGACAGTTTCCTGCTCCCAGTTTCACTAGTAACTCATCTACAAGAGCAGGACCCCGAATATGAAATGGGATGGGGGAATACTATCTGATCCTGCGGTCTTATGCAATTTCAACAGTCAGATCTCACGTACAATTTCTGCGAGTGAGGGCGGATCCAAGGAGACGGCCCAGGGAGAAGGGCGCTCAATGCCCGAAAATAGAACCCATAACTCAGGTTGGTTAAATTGCCTTGCAAAGTGGCTGGTCCAACGCTCCAAGCGTTTTGACAGGCTGTGGATCGGCTGTCCACTCTCGTCGCTTATGGTCTGGCTAACACCAGGTCACCGACTGCCTGTTTCCCGTATCAGACGAGTAACTTACGATGATTATCAACGGCAGCGGCTATTTCCATCTCCGAGGCACGATGATACCACCAGGCTTCGCGGTCTTTCTTCAGGCTAGCACGCAGTTTTGCCTTGAGATTTTTACGAGTCACATTGTATCCGCTTCCAGCCGGAATACGTCGGTGAGCATCCATAAGTTCCAGAGACTGTGTAGAGACCTAACGTGCAGTCTGGCTATTTGATTTGACACATGAAGACATACCTGCTGATAGTAACGCTTGGCGAATATGTATCCAGTGATATGCGACGGTGTTCAGTGAGCGCTTACTCAGCCCGAAGGTCAGCGCACTTTGATACACATCCAGAACAACTGGCGAAGCCAGCTGGCTGGTGTCAATCCGTTCTCATCGACATTGCGGACGTCCAACGAAACGCACTCGGTCGGCACACACAAGAGTGTGATGGGAGCCCACGCTCGTGCTTCAAATCGTACGACAGTTTCGGGTGCAGCATCTCCAGCGATACCTGATTGCGACGTGATCGATTTGCGTCCATGACTAGTCCGAGGTTGGTTGGTGCCAAGTCACTCTTCTGCGGGTGCTGTGTTGAAAGTTAGTGCTCACGAAAAAGAGACGAGCATCTTCACACAGGTGTAGCAACCTACACATACACTTACACCAAATTGGCCGCCCAGATGAAGCACATCAGAGGACAGTTTTCCGACGAGCGTTCAGATCAAAGACAAGAACCACGGTAGGTGTACTCTTTCTGGAATGAAGGAGATCATTGAGCTGGTGAGAGAATTCATCTTTCACCGAATCAGTACTACAGTTTTTGGGCGCGTAGGCCGCAACGGCAAACAAGCACTGTTTGTCCCCGTGCAACTTCGAAGCCTGGAACGAGCCAGCCAATCTAACGGCGCACATTCGGCTGTTGACTGGAATCCAATCGTTCACGGCAGCTACAGCCCGCGGACTCAAAACAATGCTGACGCCAGCTTGACCTGCATTTGAAGCTGAGTCATCGCCAGACAGACGCAATGAGAATGTGCCACCAGTGTTGCACGTGGGGATCGCAGGGTAAGCACGGAGCTCGAATCTTGCAGGCGCATTTCCGATAAGCAGCAAATATCGATCGATAGTGTCTCCAGTGTTCAAGTAAGTAATGTCTGTTAGTCAATCTGCAACAAAGTGCGCACGTGGAGACATGCCAGCCTTAGCGAGGATCGAGGACTCCAAAGGGAAACGGATGATGTAACCTTATCCGCCTGGTTGAACATGGACTTGTCGACTAAACCGGCGCGACACCCTGCGATTGAGTGAGTTGCAACTAAAATACAAGCGGCTATTGAGGCAAGATGAGGGAGGGCCAATAATTGGGGGGGTTGAGAAATCATCATCATCATCATTACACGTTAGCTGGAGGTGGAAAACACCTCAGCCATTGTGCCGCAATACAAAAGACAAGAAAAGAAAAAACAAACAGTGGCACGCCCGCTGAGTCCCCAGTAACGGATGGACATCGTTCCGGAGAGTTAACAGCTGGCTGCCGTAAAAGAGAGTCGTATTATGCCTAACAACTGAGATCGTGATTGGAGGGGGATGCTAAACAGGAGGGGATGGACAAAGGAACTCACAACACAAACGCCATTGGTGCCGGCTCCAAGCCATATCAGCAAGTGTGTCCAACCAAACGTGTTCACCGTCCTTAGAACCCCAGCCAGGCAGTCGGGATGCACCAACCGACGCCAACTTCGAAGTGAGGTTTTTCATTTCTCTAGACCAAGTCATCACTTGGCCTCCCCTCCTCCTCTTCCAACCGCACCCACAACGCGCAAACAATGCACGCCGCGGGAGTCGGTGTGCTGGCATGCACAACACGTGGCCCAGCCATCGGAGCCTGGTGCGTGATATAATGGTGCTGAGCGGTTCACTCGCTCTTCCTGCACCAAATACCCGACGTCGAACACGCTCATTGCTCACGCGGTGCTCCCACCAGACATGAGCTAAGCTGCGAAGGCAGCGATGATCGAATGTGACGAGCTTCTTCATGTCTGTCGACCTGATGGGCCAGGTTTCACAGCCATACAGGAGAGTTGAACGGACGGCTGCGTTGTAAACTCTGCCCTTCAGGGCGAGAGTAATGTCGCGTCTGCGCCACAGGTGGCGGAGATTGGCAAAAGCACCTCGAGCTTTTGCTATACGGTTCGTAACCTCATCTTCTATCCCACGGGCGCTAATATAGCTGCCCAGGTACTTGAATTCCTGAATGACTTCTAGCAGATCACCACCAAGCGTTAGCGCAGGGTTGGGTCCCTGCCAATCTTGGAGAAGTACTTTTCATTTCGATGGAGCAAAGCATAGCCCAAAACGATTGACAGCCAGTGCTAATCGGTCCAGTGCTCTTTGGCATGTTTGGGAGCTGTCACAGATTAGGGCAATATCGTCTGCATACTCCAAGTCAAGAAGTCGCTCACCAGGAAGTAGCTCCACACCTTCTAGGTCGTGTCCAGCGAACGCTGTTTCCATGACTTCATCAATAGCGAAGTTGAAGAGGAAAGGTGACAGCGGGCAACCTTGTCTCACACCGCTGGTGATACTGAAGGGTGGCGAGAGTTTGCCATAAACCCTCACCCTGCCCGAACTATGTGCGTACAGCGCTTTGATAATTTTTACATATTTATCAGGCACACCTTTCCTCAGCAGACAGTCCCAAAGGGCACATCGATCGACTGAGTCGAAGGCACCTTTTATGTCAAGAAACACGACAACGGTGGGTCGCCAATAAACATGGCGGTGCTCCAACAGCTGACGCAAGGTGAAGATGTGATCGATGCAGCCCCGACCTCGACGAAATCCGGCTTGCTCTTCACGAATCTGGCTTACACGAGTGCCAGTCTGTGGAGAATGACAGAGGCAAGCAATTTAGAGGCAATCGAAATCAGACTGATCCCTCTATGATTGCCGCATTCCAAACGGGAGTTTCCCTTGAAAATTGGGACAATGACGGAGCGGTTCCAGTCTGTCGGGACTGTCTCCTGCTCCCAAAGTTTTACTAGCAACTCGTGTAGATCATCTACTAGAGCAGGTCCCCCGAATTTGAAGAAAGCTGGGGGAATTCTATCTGCCCCTGCGGCCTTATGCAATTTCAACAGCCTGATCTCACGTTCGACTTCTGCGCGTGATGGCGAATCCAAGGAGACGGCCCAGGGAGAAGGGCGCTCAATGCCCGAAGAAGAAAGCGATAACTCAGGTTGATTAAATTGCCTTGCAAAGTGTTCAGCCCAACGCTCCAAGCGTTTTGACAAGCTGTGGATCGGCTGCCCACTCTCGTCGCGTATGGTCTCGCTAACACCAGGTCTCCTGCTGCCTGTTTCCCGTATCAGACGGAATAACTTACGATGATTACCAACGGCAGCGGCTGTTTCCATCTCAGAGGCACGATGAGACCACCAGGTTTCGCGGTCCTTCTTTAAGGCTAGCACGTAGTTTTGCCCTGAGATTTTTGCGAGCCTCATTGTATTCGCTCCCAGCCGGAATACGTCGGCGAGCATCCATAAGTTCCAGAGACTGTGTAGAGACCCAATGTCCGGTTTGGCAATTTGCTTTGCCACATGAAGACATGCCTGCTAACAGCAACGCTTGACGAATATGCGACCAGTGATCTTCAACGGTGTTTAGTGGGCGCTTACTCAGCCCAGATGTCAGCGCACTTTGGTACACATTCAGAACATCTGGTTTCGCCAGCTGGATGGTATCAATCCGTTCACATCGACGTTGCGGACGTCCACCGAAACGCACCAGGAGGTAGGCACAGACAAGTGCGTGGTCAAAGTCCACGCTC